GAGTGAGTTTTAAAGAACAAACTAACTAGTTTAAGCAAGATAATATCTCTAATCATAACTATTAAATTAATATAAAATAATTATATAGTTATATATATATACTGTTATTACATATTTATAGTATCTAAGTTTCTGTATAGTATAAAGGTATATAAAAATAATATTTTTTAAAATATATAGAAACAAGTTGATTTTTGATAATTTAAAAAGGTTAATATTTAAAAGAGATTTTGCTTTAATTAGTTCTATACTAAAAAAGTTAAAAGGATGTTCTGTAAAAAAATCATTACTATTTTAAATTATTTAAAATTAAATTTATGCAAAACCCTGGGGCAAAAAGGGTCCACCAACCTGGCCGCTGGAGTCGCACCGGAGAAAAAAGTTCTATGCTATGGAATTAGGAACCAAGAGAAGTAGAACCGGAAGGCGTTTAAAGCCTAGGTACAATGACCCATCCGGGCTAACTGGTTTGGTAGTTGGAGAGGGATCGGTGAAAAGACTGGTTTGATGTGGGTATTGGGATTGGAACGAACTTTGTAAGGGCACGGATACTGAAATTGTGCAGTTTAATAGTTCACCCTGACTGCTAGTGTCAGTTTTGGCCGTTGCGAAAGGTATCCAAAGCCTAATCTGGAAATGTGTGAGACATAAAAAGATTAGGGGGTAAATCTACACCTTCTCTAAGGTAACCCGGTAAGTATGAGAACACTACTAGGTTATTTATAGAATTAGAGCACAAGTAGTAAGTAGATGTCGATCTGGGTGGTCTCATTGCAGCAGTATGAGGTTATGAGCTAGTGTGATTGGGGTGGTGTTATAGGACGGGTTAACCAAGATTGTAATACTAAAAATACCTAATAAAAAATTCACTGATTCGCGACATTGCGAAAGGTTAAAAAAAAAAAAAAAAAAAAAAAAAAAAATTAAATTTATTAGAATAGCAAATAATATATATATATATTTCAAGCTTACTATACTATAATCCTTATTTCATAATACTATCAGACTTTATAAATTTATATTAATATATTAATTCCTTATATGCTTAATAAATCATAATGTAAAATGTAGTGACTTAGTGTAGGTGGTAAGTTGCTGCACCCACAAGCAGCAGAACAAGAGTTTGAATCCCACTAGCAATGAAATATAAATTTATGAAATATGTTATAGCAGACTATATATGATCTGATGAATTATCAGATCTGTAGCTTTGGTCGTATTAGCTTGTACTGGAAGACTGTAAAACTATAGTGTAATGTATAAGTTATATAAAATCTGAGTAAAATAGATATGTAAATTTAAGGGCTGAGATAACAGAATCCCACTTGGCAAAACCTAAGTAGAAAAATAACACAGATCTTTGACGATATTACATAAAGGATGATCATTAGCAATCAGACACCAACAGTAAACTAGACGAAAACTGGGTGTTTGACAAACACTAATACCAACCAGGCCATGTGTATATAAAGGATGGCTCTGTATAAATGAGAAAAAAGGATTTAATCGAAATACTAAGGAAACATCCACTAGTTCTTTCCCAAGCTATTTGGATTGGAAGTTTAAAACACTGTTGGTGAAGAAAAGCTAGTGTTAGTTCGTAAAGTATGTGCTGGAGTTTGGGTGAACTTTGTAAGAGCAGAGAGTATATAATAGTAACAGAGAAATGCCACAAGTACTTGGCCATGGCCTAGGCATAAGTTACTAAAAATCTAGATAATACATGTATAATTCTAGTAGGTTTACTATAAGGATAAAGCAGTCCTAAAAGGCCTTAGCAGCAGTTCCTCTTTGGAGAAAATATCCCAATAATAATAAGTTGATCAGAGGGTTTAATTGGGTAACTCAAGTAATAGTAGATTATAGGTATAGCATCTAGTATAAAACTTAGTAATAGGAAACTACTTAATTAGATGCTCAAAAGGCACAAGTATAACTAAAATGTATCCTTGTTAATGTAACAAAGTCAGGAGTGGCTCTGTGGCTGCCCTGACATTCATAACCAAAGTTAATAAATGTGCCAGACCCCAAAGTGGTCACTTTAATATTAAAAAAAAAATTATAATGTAATCTATTTCAACAAAAAATTTCTTTAAAACCAAATAGGGTCTTGAATGCAACAGTGCCAGATAACTTACATAACCTCATATATTTGTCATGAAATGGTTTAATGCTGCTTAGTCTAACAAATGTAACCTATTCAATCATAAGTTCATATCAAGTAGTTTTATTTTTTACTTTTTGCATTATTATTAATTAAGTATACAAAACAAGTTATTCAAGTTCATAATATTTTTATAATATTTCACATTATTTTATTTGCATTGTATTTTAAGTTACTCAAACTTATGGATTTATAGCTAGCTAAAAGTACAGCCAATTCTCTTTTCTGAACAATATGTTCCTATATATAAAAATATCAAAAGTTCAGTTCTCAAAGAATTAATTACTATGCTGAACTTTATAATAAAATTTATAAATATTTTGAAGCTTTGTATTCGGTCTTTACAAAAGTTTTTTTAGAAGTTCAGATTATCCAGGTTTAGATTTAGAAGTGTTAATAGTATGTGCATATATGTATATCTTTAAAAAAGAATGCATCCCATGATCTTAATTGTCCAAAGAACTTTACTGTCACGGTTGCTCCTGTATTAATGTTTAGATCAAACCTATAGTACCCTTGTACAAACCAAACGTCACCAAAAATTAGTTACGGTTTAACTCGGTTAAACATATGAATGATTTGATAATTTTTTTTAAGTGACAAAACTGTACTTTTATTTTGCCTACAATGAGTTTTCTATATCACAGATGGTGCAAAAAATACAAAGCATCAGAAACTTTTTACATGTTTTGAATTTTTTGAATGTTTAATACGTATTAAAAAAAGTAAAAAGCGAAAATATAAAGAAAACTTTATTTGATTTAAAAAAAAAATGTTATTGATGTCAATAACATTAATACACGTTTCTTAAAAATCACTTCTTACAAACATTTAATTTCACCACTAGGAAATATGGATAACTCTCTTTAATACAGTAATAAGGTTCAATGCAATAATTAAATGAAATGACTTTTCAAGAAACTTTATAAATTAGATGTGACAAGATAAAATTAATGACTATTAATTATATTAATAACAGCTATAAAAAAAAAAAAAATCTAATGTCTGCTAAGAATTTAGATGCATAGGTAATGCAAAATAGAAATCAACTTTGCACCCAATATATAAATCTATTTTGCATATAAATTTTTTTTAAAAAAATATATATAATACATTTAAGTCTAGATATTAATGCTCTGGATCCTGTTACCTAGTATAATGATCGGGTGTAATTTTGACCAATCAAATTTCGTATATACCAGATTAAAGTCAATAAAGCCGCATTATACATAGTTAGGATTATGATTAGAACATTTCAGGTTTACTGTAAAATTGCACAAGGAACGCTTTAAACTAGTTTCGTTTCGAGTTTGAAGTTACATCTGATCTTAAAGTTTGACTGGTCAAAATTTCAGGAAGCACTTTTTTTTGAGAGTGTGCCAAGGGAGTTCAAAGTGTATCGGTATCGGTATTATAATTTTTTTTTCTTTAATTATTAAATATCGTACATACATAGCGATAGTATTTACGGATGTTCGATTTAATACCATTATTCATGTGTCTAAACTCTAAGCCACAATTACGTATAACAGTAATTAAACGAGGCTGTGCTTAAATAAAATGGCTGTGTTGTTGACATAAATCTTAAACTAATTTTTAATTATTAGTTTGATAACAGGTTACATCATTGAATGCCCTTATTTTGTTCGGGCCTTTACAAAAGAATAAGTTACTTAATACATTCATCAGCCGCAAGATATGTCTTAAATTCTAGAAATGACTTAAGAGGATGATTGGGTATTATTTTTAGAGTGAGGATTGATACAGCAAGTTTTCATAAAATGCAAAAATCATTAATGGCTCGGAGAATGTGGTTCCCATTCGGTGAATTCAAGCCGAAACTATTACGGACTCATTTTTAATATCATTAGACATCATTAGACATCATTAGATATCATTAGATTAGTGATGGGACTTACCGGGGTTAGAAATTCAGGCTGCTTAATTGTCGCACACATCATAATATAAAAAGTAAATCTATAATTTTTGTTTTAACATAATGCAACATGCGACAATTAAGCAGCCTGAATTTCCAAGTCCCATCACTACATTAGATATTTTCGATCAGCTAATATTATCAATAAATCTTTTTATTATTATTTCTAACTCTATTGTAATATATTAATCACACATATGTTTATGCCAGAGAATCTTTTTAGGTTAACAAGCGTAATGATCGATTTTCGTTAAACCACTTATTTTTGATTCATAATTATTCATTCATTTTATAAAATAATTTCGTGATAAAGCATGTTTCTTTAAATTTTTACGATTAAAAAAAGCAAACTAAATCATGAAGGTTTTGCCTTAAAGTTATAGAGTATATATAAGCATTTATCGTTTCTTACTATTTCATGCTCTTACATTTTTTCACTTGAGTGAAGCGCACTGTAGTGACTTGACTATAAAGACTTATACATGATAATAATAATTCTTGCCATACCGAGCGGTGTTTTTAAAAGATCATTATATGGTCTGCTTTGGTTATTTCATTGTTGTTTGAATGAGATTTCTTTTTTCATAATGTGAGTAAATTTATGAACTAATTAGCTAATTTTGGTAAATTGTTTCATAGCCACAATACATATGTACGTACGTACTTGTTTTTACGTGGAGTCGTCAGTTGATAAAAACCTTTTGATAAAAAAAAAAAAAAAATGGTGATTGTAATTATGCAGTCAAAGGTAATTCTCTTTATTATAAGGCTTCAATAACTATCATTGTTTGTTCCAACACGAAAGTTTCTTTCGGTTCTTCAAACCTCATGAGAGTATCAAATACCTTCGGTCCCAACCGTAACCGCGAAAAAGAATAATTACCAACGAACAGTATCAGTATGGATCAAGATCCGTCTCCCGCCTCTGAAACTGATAATGCAATTTCTCCTACACCGTCAGCAGTTATCTTTACTGTGCTGTGCACTGCATCCATAGCCCTTGTAATTACGGCTGCCGCTTTGTTCTTTGTTGCTAATAAGCGAATGAAAAAGGATGAATCGCTCGAATCTTATAAAGTAGAGAGTGGTTTACTTGATAGAGATTCTGACATAATCTTAAAAGAAGGCCTTTCAAAGGAGTCATTACCTATTTCCGCGCCCCCTATGCTGAAAACAGATCAAAAAGTAAAACCTTCCACTCCTCCGTCAACTGGAAGCGCTACCCCCCAAACTCTTCCACATTTTCCTCAGTTAAATACTCAGCTCTTTGATTCTTTACCTGATTCTTACAATATTCCGCCAAAGGCTTATAAATCTGGTATTATTAGTAGGTCTAGATCATCTATAGATCTCGCACATTTGAAAGATAAGGAGAAAGAACCTTTCACAGAGTCCACCTTGTATAATGATTCACCAGGACCACCATTGGGGAGTGACAGCGTTCCCAGCGTTCCCAAAATCGACCCGGAACAACCAGGAGAAAGTCAAAGTCTGTATATGACATCACATCATCCTTCCGCTGATTTTTTACAAGAAATGCCCTCACCTATGAGACATGAATATACAACATCACCAGTTCGTTCTCCGAGAACCTCTGGAGACGTTCGTCCGCAGTCACGACAATCATCAGAGTACATGGTGCAGTCCTCACAAGAATTATCTGATCCTCAACTACGAACAACACATATGGAACCTGATATATTGCATGAAAGTTTGGGTGATCCATATCTTGAATATACTACTAGGTCAGACAGATCTGAGAGGTCACGTAGTAGAGGTAGCCGAGGTAGGAGTATATCTCCGTATAGCGACACAGGTACTGGTGAACATCCAAATCCAAGCGTCTCAAGATCATCCGAGTCACCATCACCACCACCAACAACAACAGAACGACGTCGACCTCGACCTACACCAGGATATCCAGATGATAGTGTCGGCATGCCACTTGCGCCACAAGTTTCGCGTCGTGCCCGCAGTTCTAGGCGTTCAACACGCGACCGTCGTAGTGGTGGAAACGGTTCTAGCACTTAACAAAGGTTTAAATTTAATTTATTCACAAAGGATAATTGCTAATAATATTCACAACTTAATCACTTTCAAAGGGTATCCGCATTTATGATCAGTATTCAAACTTGAAATATTCCCTTTTAGGGGAGGGGAATATAATTATTTTTGTTTCTTTCATCGCAACAAAAACGCTTCATTTTAGTTTATTTTCTCAATAAAATTACACAAACTCATGCATATAAAATGAATATTATAATTTAAAGTGGGTAAAATATAATTTTTATCAATAGATTTGTCTAATATTTGTTTAACGAGATGTAATTACGTATGTTACTAATTTTGTTAAAGTGGCTTAAAATTCAAATGAAAAATGTTTACATTTATGGGTTCTTTAAATGTTGTGTTGAATTTGTTCATTAAAGTTTGGATTAAATGGAAAATACATATATATGTACTGTACAGTATTGTACGTACCTTTTTTGATATCCATAGCCTTTTTGAAATGTACTGTCCGAGAATATTCAAATTCCTATAAGTAATTGTATAAAAAATACACGATTATACATATATTTCTTTAGTTTTAAATATATTTTTTTAGAAAATTATTAAAATATTTTTATATTTAATAAAATTTTAAGTAATTTTGATTATCGTTATTTTGTCAAAAAGTTCAAAAAAATCCAAACTTATGTTCAAAGCTGTCCAGTGATAACACTGCATACGTATGCACCAATTGAAAGCTATGTCGATATTCTAGTAGTCATTAAACAAAGGTGATAAAAATCTTTATAAGTTATTATATGGAGGTGAGCCAATAGAAATTAAGCAAATTGTTTATAATAAATTTTTTTAAAAACTTGAACCAAAATAATTTAACAAAAACTTGATCAAAATTTGATAAAATTCTTTTTTAAATTAGTTTTATAAGTTTAATTTAAAAATTCTTTATCAATTTTGATTAAGTTTTAGTTAAGTTGTTTATATTCAAAGTTTAAAAAAATCTTATAAAAACTTGAATTCTATTGACTCATCCCCATATATTAAAAGTATATACAGTAAATACAGTAGGTTTATTAACAAAATTTTTGGTTTCTTGCTATATGATGAAACTATAATTAATTAATAATATAAGGTATTTATTATTACAGATTAAAATCGAATTTGTAGTTTTTAAGCCCCTAAAACCTATTTATACTTTGTTACAGTATTAAAATTCTAATTGTAAATTCCAACCAAACTTATAAAAAACAGTCTAAAAAAACTTCACCAAAAAATTATTATAATAAGTTTTTAATAAAACAATGCAAAATTAAAATTTCCATTTAGTATATGCTATATATGACAAATAAACTAGAATATATATAAGCATATATATATAGATACTACATCATCCAAAACATGTAAATTCGTAAGCTTACATAAGAGTAAATATATAAATATTAAAAAATAAAATAGGATGGACTGAATGTAGATTTAAATAGTCAATAGGACATAAAAAGAGCTGATTTGTATTATACGTACGTACGTACGTACGTACGTTGAATAGGATATTCCGAAACGTTCCGAGTAAAAATAGAAAAATTCCGAAACACAACTTCGTGTACCCCTCCAGTTTTAAGAGTTAGGCGGTGATTTATACCTGCGTATTCAAGTACGTACGATATATGCCATATGTATCATGTTAGGGTAGATATAATAAAACATATTCGTCTCTATATGGTGTATCCCCCTACACAAGTACCCCAGGTATCAGGATATACCCGGTACAAGGTCAGACTTTTACGGTATATCTTACGATTATATTATGGCATGGCATGAATTTTGGCCAACGGCATGACAAATTTTTTTTTAGCGTGCCATTTACCCTAGCTGAACGATTAAAAGATTTAAAACTAAAAGCAAGTCAGGTTAGACTACTGGTCAATTTGCAGATCCTTTAACATTCTACGTACATACGTACTGTACGTACGAATCAACGGCACCACCACGTACGTACGTTTGACACGAATAGGTACACTTTATTGAATAAATAGACAAATTAAGCTCAGACTAAATTGTTCTAATATCTTTTATTGCAGTATAAAATTTTTCGGATACGTATCACTTCACCGACATTCATTTCGTAGACATAACATTTCACCGACAAAAATTCACCGACATGTTTATTTCATCGACAATTATTTCGCCGACAAGTTTATTTCACCGACAGTTTATTACACTGAAGCTCATTTCATACTGTCATAGACATAACCTTAACTCTAATCCTAACCTGACAGTGACCAGAATTATTTTGTCGGTGACATAAGTTTCGGTGAAATAAACTGTCGGTGAAATGGAAAATAAATGTCGGTGAATTGTTGTCGGTGAAATGTTATTTCTATGAAAATAAGTGTCGGTGAAGTGAGCTGAACCGAATTTTTTCTATAATTTCGTTAAAGAACTTTTGATAATTATTTCCAAGTATATACCATCATATTCAATAACTTGGGTATATTTTTTGTATATTCTTAACAAAGTCCATTACAAATCCTCTACATATATCCCGGATACCAATAAGTTCAAAGATACCATTCTGAATCATGACAAAGTGCTTCTTGATTTGTATTACACACACAGTTTAAATTCAGCCAGTTTATATCATACTCATACTATATAGTAGATAGATTTGTGAATTCCTAAAATCATCTTACTTTACGAGATACCGATGGCGTGTCTTTAAAATTCGAAATCCGGTTCAGCTCACTTCGCCGACACTTATTTCAACAATTCACCAACATGTTATTTCACCGATATTTATTTTCCATTCTACCGACAGTTTATTTCACCGAAATTCGGTCATAGTCGTTAGGGTCAGGTTAGAATTAGAGTTAATTTATAAAAAAAACTTTGTCTATGAAATGAGCTTCGGTGAAATAAACTGTCGGTGAAATAATTGTCGGTGATGTGAATTTTTGTCGGTGAAATGTTATGTTTGAGTGTCGGTAAAGTGATACGTATCCTTAAAATCTGGGGTTTATGTCAAAAAA